AGAAAAGACAAAGTAAAACAATAAAAGATGAAAAGAGAAAAAATGAAAAAAAAAAAAAAAAATCTGGAAGGAGAGAGAGAACATTGCCAAAAACATGTGATTCAAATACAGAAAATAGCACTTGATTTCGAACATTGGAAGTATAACACCGCAAAATAATCTATGAAGTACCTAAAATAAATATCCTGAATTCAAATCCATCTAAAATTTACTGCAAAGGAAGTCTAAAACTAGATAACATAAAAAATATAGACATTTTTGCTTTGTGGTGTTACCACCTGCTTTGAGTCAACAACCAACAATTTCATTCATACAAGAAAAAAAAAGTAAAAACATTTTCAGCAAGACCACACAAACAACTAACATGGAACAAATCACAGAAAAATGGCCATTAAAAAATTCCTCTTCTGGTAAAGCACGGTCAACATAAACACAGGTGTCATATATGAGACTGCTTTACTCCCATTCAACATACATCGAGCTCAATTCATGGAACCAGTAGCCATAAAAAAATCCATATAAGTATGTAAAACGAAATATCCAAGTGTACGATATTTTACTCCAGTACTATTTCAAGAGCCAGTTAACGTTTAGAGCACAACCATTTCAAACATAATGTATTTTCAGACATGATTAAGTTAAGAAACTAGGTGCCAGCCCACTTAGAAATATAAATTCAAGTTACGATGTTTGTGTTGAAAGCTAGCCTTAAAATGTACAACGATGAAAACGACACTGTACCAGAGAGAAAGATATCAGATTTTCTAAAACAATGAAGGTGGCAGAAGTTACAGAACCTTTTCTCAAAGTCAGGGCAACCACGGCATCATTCTCAACCTGAATAGATATAGCAAAACAATAGAGTAATTATAGGGAGAAAAAAAAAAAAAAAAAGGGATGTATGAAAAATGGACACAATATCAAGAGAATCAAGAGGCCCCAAACTGATTTTGTCAAGCAACTACAAAACAAAAATCTATCTACGTTGAATTTTAAAGGCAGAAATATTCTTCTTTTTTCCTTTTTGTTTATTTATGATCAAAATATACTGGGTATGTTGATGTTGATGTTGATGATGTTATTTATGATAAAAATATAGAGCATTAAACCTTCTGATCTGCAAGTGACTTTGAATCGTCTAGTGTTTCCTTATCTGGCATCAAAATCAGTCGTTGATTGTTGACTGGCTCATCAATGAGTTCCTGCAACTTCTCCTTAATTTGTAAAATTGTCTCACTTGGCACACATTGGAGAAAATAAGTTGTCTTCAGACGCTTTACTCGAATATACATAGCCTATCAAATAAGTTAATCAATACACAGTCAATGATATATTTTATCACCTGCTTCATATGTTATCAGTTTAGATACGTTTATTACTAAAATGATTACATGGCATGCAATACGGGGAATAACGAAGACATATGGAACTTGGGAACAACGGTATTAATAAACATGTGTAATAACCTTTAGCCACATAATAATAAAGTAAAACGATTCAATTTGTTCTCTCCCATTTCACAATCTAAACCTTTATTAACACTTGTTAAAGAATACACCACTTTTCATGAAGTATATAAGCAGAGCAAAGCTTGATGCTATATATAGGAGTTATACCAGTATGAATTGAATAACATGATGTAACAGGTTATATTTCACACGGAAATAAAAAAGGGAACAAAGGATATTTGATCATGCATAATCCAAAATGACAGAAAACGACAAAAATAAAAGTACGATTCCATCAAAATCAAAGCCCGGATAAATAACAAGGCCATTCACAAACAATGTCATCAAATACGGATGGCAGAAAATGGCAGCAAGCTGAAATCCCGCCATGGCAGCCAGTGGCGCTGCCATAACTGTTACAAATTTACAATGGCGGTTAGGCAAAAATCTTCCATACCATACCCGCCATGGTAGAAAATTGATAACCCTGTACACGTAACGACAGTAGCACCTTCGCTATCTATGATATGCCACTCCAACAATTAATCAGAAATTACTATTATGAATCAAAATGGAGCAGAAAAGTTTTTAACTTAATGAAAAAAAAAAAAAGAAGGAAGAATGAAACAAGATAGATTAGCTAAATCAAGACAAAAATGTACTGATACAAGCAGAATTAATCAACTGAACATATAAATTTGACTTTAATTCAATAATGTTTCCTAGGAATTAATAACTTCATTCTAAAAAGTTAAGCTCCCTTGGCAGAACAGAACCTAGATTACTTTGTGGTCAAGTCTCTCTGTTAATGATTTCTCAGTTTTCCCCATTTACATGTGTTGCTCATAAATTCATTATCAAGAAGACCATTCAATCTTCACCTTCTTTCATCACTCCTTTAATAAATTACATTACCAGTTCAAATAGAATTTTCAACAAGGGCGGATGAATTAGTGCGTGGGATCAACATAACTACACGAGAAAGCATCCGTCTGAAAACTAGAAACAAAAAGCCAACACTAAATCACACATTACAATCTCATAATTAAATACAGAAAATCACAAGCAAACGGAATTTCAAGAAAGTAAAGTAACGAGGAGTAGATAGAGAAGGGG